AAAAATCATAAATGGGGAATGAAGTTTGCAGACAAGTTTCTTTTTTTCGAAAGTGTCTGGGATCGAGTGTCGTCCTTTGGTTCGTCGTAAAGTTTATCGTTTTTAGAGTTCCGTCGGCTTAATGACGCCGTTTTAACGTTTTGAAGGCTGCTGAATATTTAAGGCTTAAGTTCCGGGTACGATGTTTTCGGTTTAACGGTTCGGATTAACCAGGGTTGTAAATGTGATGAAATTTCGGTTAGAGTTATGTTTCAGCTGTAATTTATGGGTTCCGAATAGGCGTGTCGGAGTTTAGAATTCTCATCGGGAATGTTTGTAAGAATAAAATTAATGGAGGAGTTATGGAATATTGTATTAAATTTGCGATTTTATTATAACATTCTAAATTGATACACGTGACAATGACGCATAAAAATAATTGTAAACGTAACGCTGATAATTTTGGTACTCTTATCTATGACGAAATTAGTTGCAAAAGATAACATTGTTTTTAAATGTGCACGTTGAATTCTTTTGATGATAGCACATTTTTGTACGATTTATTATAATTTAGGACGAATATTAAAAGACTAATTACCTACATTTATAACATCAGGCAAAAACAACCTGAAATACTTACGAATAGCTCTTATACAGTTACTATAGGTTTCATTTTCGGCATACAACGCACTGGTTAATTTTGAAAACCACCCAAGCTATATAGGGTGGAAAAATTACAAAAAAGTTGGTAAGAAAGGAACAATAGCAGCGGGGAACGAACCAAAGATATATGTGTAGCAGTTTTGTTTCTGCACCGACTTCAGTAGCCGTCATCGCGAGCCCAACCCCAAAGAATTTATAGCTATTTGGTCTTCAGACTTTCTCATGTGGGAGTCTTGCCAGGCATTTAGGTTCGAGTTTTTGATAAAATTTATAATGCGGTTTATAATCAGTACCACAAATGGATCGCACTTATTCTTTTTGTGTTTTTCATTTAATGAATCGTTTAAATTTGATATCGATTATTTAGCTTGATTCGTAATATTTTATATTTTGTGTTATTAAAGGTGAATTTGTTTTAGTTGTGTTCTTTAATAAACAATTCTTTAATAATAGTTTGAGAAATACATACAATATTAATTTGAAGTAAATATTTATTTAAAAATGAAAAATAAGCCTTGAAACTAATTCAGTTTACATTCCTTTTATAAATTAGAAAACAAAGAAGTTATTATTTTTAGAAAATGTAAATTTATTTCTTTTCATCCCTTCAAACACTATTTATTATTTTACATGAAAGAAATTTTAATGTGAAACAATCCGCTTAGAGTAGACGGAGCAAAATAGAAAAAGAAAATTATAAATGAAACTGAAATCCATTAACAATTCTCTGAAAGTCGTAAATGACTTACTAAAGGTGCTATTCTAAAGTACAGGGACAGAAAACAAATTAATTTTTAAATTAGTTAAATGGTAAGAAGTGAATTAAGAACGTTATTCCTATTATCCATTTAGGCGAGATTTTTCTACAGATATTCCTGATTCTTGTTACTCATTACACTTCAAATTAATAGACCCTGGATTTTTTCATTAAATTAATCAGACTGGCGCTCTGGTTGTGACCTGAATCTATTTAAAGACTTAGTTCTTTCTGACCCTAGACTTGTTAGAAAAAGGGCAAGAGAATAATGAAGAGTACCAAGTTATTCCAACGAAAATAGACTGTAATTGAATCCCAATGTGATGAATACTGAAATGAAAGTAAATAGTACTACCCAACTACTAAGGTATAATTGAACGACAAAGGTATAAGTACCCTCTTACACTGCACCTATTAAGTTCCATGATTTCACTCGTATTACTCTTAACGATACCACGTTAATCCTCCTCTATAAGGAAGCGATACTCTAAATCGCTCCAAATAAGTACACAAATACAAATTATTGTTGCAAAAAGGCAACTACACTAAGAATTTTCTTGAGCAACTCTCAACAATAATGGTGCTATTAAAAACACCCACGAGTTGCAAATTGCAAGTGGCTCGAGTACAATCAAATGTTGATTTGCTTCAGCTGCCAACACTGCTTTGTATGCGGTATAAACTATGGTAATTAAAATTTCGGGAGGTACACTCTGAGTTGCAGAAAGGTATAAATGTCCGTTGTGAATTGCAGGAAGGAACATATTTCTATAATATCATACAGTGATTTATTGTGCGTTGAAAACATTTAGTGTTGTTGTAACGAGAATGTGTAGGATAAACCCAATATAGAATTAATAGCTTCTTGTTATAAAACTATTTGAAGTTATACACCCGGAAAGGCAAACGACACGCTCAGTTAGAGAAATAGCGTGACACTTAATACTAAGAAAAGACAATATACCGGAAGAACTCAAACAATAATAATTCATTTTTCAAAACAACGAATTCAATTGAAAAATTTCTTAGCTCCACAAATCACGTTATCAGCCATTATTCTAGGGTAGAACTTGGCATACCGAACATGGAGAATTCTTGAAATGCCTGCATATCGTGAGCTACAGTTGTAAGGCCGACATTATAGTGAGGAGACACGAAGTTGCCCCGCTACTTGTACGACACTTTTTCTACGAACTCAATGTAAATTGTTTCAAAGATTTCGCGTTAATGCAAATGACTACGTTAATCGCTTTTTAGTGCTTGGCGGAGTAAAGTTGTGCGAGTTTTATGCTTTCAGTAATGAAGGGGTCGTGGGATGCAGTCCGACTCGGGAAATTATATTGAGAATAGTCATGTTTTGGAATAGGAGTTCGTGCTTTAGAAATATCTCCATGTAATTTAACTCTGAGACGATAAAATGCGTTTAATGCATGCGACATTAACACAACTACGCAAGTAGATAAAATATTTGTCGGATTCATAGACACGTTACTCGTAGTGTGAAAATAAAATTCTCTGTTAACGCAGTAAAGTTGGGTGAAATACTTTTTCTAAATGTTTCTAGAGAATAGCAACAACTAAATAAAAGTACGATAGATAACCTTGTGGAAAAAAACTGTTGCCGTACTCTTAGCTTCACGTCCAACAAAAAACGTTAACAAAAAATAAAACAGCCAGTCCGGTCGGTCGGTCGCTCGCTACATAATGATCCAAAGCTCCGCCCTTAGTTAATTTTGCACTTTTTTGCACACAACCAAAAGCTAAATTTTAACGTCCACTTTTTTGGCCAATAAAAGCATATCGATTTCATAATTATTGTCTAACGAAAAAAAAATTAAGAATATGGTTTTTGCTAGCGATTCGGTTGCGGATTTAAAGACAACTTAATTCTTCATGGGCTACCCCTTTTTTGCCAAGAGCAATTAGTCATAGATCAGACGTATGATATCAGCCGCTATTACAGAATCTAAACAATCATCATTTTTTCCATCAGTCAATAAGTCGTGATGACAGAAATGTTGCTAATTACGGACAATCAGTACAATTAAATATTGCAATGATAGCGGTAATCGTTTCCTTATATTACGAGCGATACACGTAGGTACATACGTTTTATTTCCTTGTATCTGATTGGTAACGAGAGCTGCGCAAACTGAGGTTATCATGGTCGGGGAGTTAGTGTCGGCTCGGAGTGTATGAACTCTCGAGAAAGACTCGCTCGGCCAGCGGATGACTAAAAATACATTGTTACGTGTTGACATTGAAATGTTAATGCACTCTCCGCTCGACGCATTTCATGGATACAGCATGGCCTTAATATCATATGTCTTTTTATTTTATTGATTGTTTTGACTGCTATAGCTTCATTTCATACAATATCGCGTGAGCCGGTGTTTATAATGCGATAATGCGAAAAATTCATAAAAGTGTTGCGGTGTCGTTGCTCCCGACCGTGTTTTTCGTATCGCCGGCGTCACCCGCGTGTGCAGTGGATTTATCACCGTCATGAGCGTACGATACTTTATTTTATTCATTACCGGCTACTGAGTTTTATGAAACGTTTACGCTTAAGTGTCCATCTCATTTGTTTCACGGTCGCTTAATTTATTGCAGCGTTCTATCGTCAGTCTTGGGTTTGTGCAAATCTCTGTACGTGACCTAACGTATAATTTCATAACAGTTTTTGGTTATCGCTTGTCTAATTAATGTTGTCAATTCGTTCCTGTTTCAGTGTTACGAGTAATCAATATTAAAACTTCAATTGCATCCGCATAAGTATGATGGACAGATTATTTTGTCTTCCCAAGGTTTTCATAATAGATTCAAATATGAGATTTTGTAATATTTAGCCGTTAAAAATTTCAACACTAATTTCCAAGGTTTTGTTTTACAACCCAGTTTAAATTTTCTTGTTCATATATGTTTTATTCAGTTATACCTATATTGCACATACATCTTTTTCAAATTCGACTTGATTTTATTTTAAAAATTATTTTTATCGTAATCACGTCAATAATTTAAAAACTGGTTATTGAGAGTCTGAAGATTCTTAGGGCTTCCAGTCCATTTTACGATCGCTTTTATTTTTATGATAATATGTTTTTAATTATAATATTTATTAGTTCTTTTTAATTTATCGTTTTGTACCTGGCCATCGTTTTTCTCGTCATTCGTTTTTGAATATGAACCTTTTGAAACTGTAGTAAAATCTGAGACCATAAAATGTGAGGGTATAATTTTACACGACTAAAAAAAATCGAAGTTAAGATTTACAAAATTCGTGATACTAAAAGTGTGTTTAACTACACGTGGGATTTTTTATTGCTAGTCTAGTGGATCGCATGTCTGTGCATCGTTACTCCTAGTTAGTTACCAGTTTAGTGAGCGAATTCAATTTCAGTGTCTCGGTAATGGCTGCGTCAGCCAATGAATGTTTATTACGATTATCTCCCAGATAATAGGGGACTAACCCTTTTCAACCAGCACACACCGAAATTACAAATTGTTTAAGTTAAATGGCCCGTTTGAAGGACTAGCATTTTCACACAGCGACCTAGCAGAAATTTAATTAATATAACTGAATGCTTACTCGTATGTGGTTTTACTGTTTTGGATAGTAAAATGTGATTTATTAGGTTTAATTATTGAACTTTATTTACAGTTGAGGTAATATTATAGGTGATGAAAATGAAGGTAGGTTTTACAATTATAAAATTAGCATTATACTATTTTCCGTATAATTAGGTTAAATTATGTTTTTCCTTAATATTTATAAGATTTGTAATGTTGTTATTGTTTACATGAAGTTTATCCTTTTGCATTATTGTGTAGACTACTTTCTGTGTGACAAAGTTATATTGCGCGTAATTTTTTGTTTTCGTATTTGCGTTTTATTTAGTTATGTTTCCGCGCAATGTCGTAGATTCGTAGATATTTTTCCTAGTGCGTGCGTAAATATTTTTGTTATTGATAGATAGAATTTTAGATAAGATTTTGTTGATTCGGATTTTCGTAACTTGCTTTTGTTTTGTTTGTGAATTATTTTTGTAATTTATTTTTTTAAGACGCAATTTGATTGAATTTTAATTTTATTTCGATTAGGATATTTTTTCCCTAGTACCTTCGAATAATTTTATATTTGCTCTAACGGTTTTTTTACGTTTTAATTTTTGGTAGGTAATTTATAATATTTTATTTAACGGATGTTGTATTTGTATTATTTTTGTACGCGTTGAATATAAGTTGTTCTAGTTTTGAAGTTTGTTTGAAGTTTTTAAAACTTTTATTTTTCACTTTAGTCACTTGTAAAAAGTTTCAAGTCGTGGACTTACCTGTGTGGCATCCGTGTAAGGGGTTGATGAATTTTTATCGACGAGCTGGGACCCGAACACGGGTACTCCACTCGACGTTGGTGACAGGGACCTCACATCCGACACTTGTTGGGGCACCATTTTTATTTATCCAAAAAAATAAACCCCAAATAAAACTTAACACAAAAAAACACAGTTCACCTATTGCACTTAAAAACACTAAAAGACTAATTTGTTTGAGTCCAAAACAAATTCATAAGTTTCTTAAAAAATATTTATAACAGTCCAAATGGGGCAACAAGGAGCCTCTGTTTGTTCCCGAACCGCAGCCTCTCGGCGGACGAAACTCCGGAGACCTCCCAGTACCTGGACACTATCCTAAAAGCTTTCTCTTCTAGAACGAGATATCTGCTACTATCTTCGTCGCCGGCGAACAGTCCAAAAGTCATAATTTTAGCGGTGTCCCGACCGCAGTTCAGTTAGCACTGCGGGGCGATCGTGTCATAATCAATCGGGAGCGACGAGTGGTGTGGGCTTTATGCGGCTACGTTCGCACTCCGCGGTGACAGAGAACCTACTGACTGAGCGGCAACGTGCTGTCAATATACCCGCGCTCAGCTGTTCGCCCCTGCCCCGCGCCGCGCAAGCGCCCCGCACTCCCCCCGCGGCGCACTCTCGCGCCGGCGGCCGGCGGAAGCGCACGCTTCCTCCACGCTTCCCGCTGTACCGGTCCGACCGGTCGTCGCTGCGAGCCGTGCCCGGCTAACCGTAACCCTCAGCCCACGGTGGCCGTTTTAAATGCAAATTTTAGATGTATGAACACTTATTTCGGAGTTTTACGTAAGTATGAAGTTGTGTTGGCAACTGTTCCAACTAAACTTTATGTTTATTAAACTTTTATACGCGAACACAAACTAATGGGGCAATGTTTACATTTATTACTACGGGAATTCAAAATTAAACTAACTTAGATTTCACGCTACGCGGTAGCTTAATTAATTTGTACTACTTATTGTTTATTTACATAATAGTCTTTTGAGTTTAAACTGCATTCGTGTGGCCTTATAGAAATAATTTTACTATTATTTACTTAGCTGTAATATATGGGCATTTATTTATAAACCACTGTTAAGACAACAGTTTAATTTCTGTTATTACCATTCATATGGAAGCTGCTAAGTATTTAAATGGGGTAGACAGGCATTAAAAAGTCATAAAAATACAGTACATAGGTCAGGTACATTAATAATATATTTTATTGTTTGTGACATCTGTAAATACAATCATGTTATATATATAATAATAAACTATACATATTCAGAATATAACATCACGCCTTTTAGGTCATATAATGGGTAGGCAGAAGTGCACACATATGTACAATACGTAACACCACTAACTATTCAGTTCAATATTATTTCCATACACCGAGTAAAATTCCAAAAATGAATTACTGAAAATTACAAAAAATCAAATAATAATTTTTCCCAACCTGGGATTCAAACCCAAAATAGCTTACTCGACTGTCAAACTTACGACCAATAGATATATGAGACAGACATTTTAATTAACTAATACAAATACCTAGATAATCTAGGTATTCTCACGGCTAGATCTCATTTAGCTCGGCTAAGGGCGACCTAACCTTAGGTTAGCAAACCACTAATTATAATAATAATTTAATCTATTGTACCTTCATAATAAACTGTGTAATCATATTAGACGTGGAACGTTGTTATTTTGCTGTGTATAGCAGATATTGTGTTGTCTTTAATTTGTATATTTTATTGTTACACACAATACGTATATCTATAGTTCTATACAGATCAATAAAATTGGAGTTTATAATAATAAAAGAACCGCTTTTAACTATATGTATATTAAATAAATATACACTTAGGTCGCTATGTCTTGTCGCTATTGCTTGTCTTGTTGGCCGAGTGGTCGCAAGTGCGACTGCCGTGGAAGGTGTCTCGGGTTCGATTCAAATTCAAATTCAAATTCAAAGTCTTTATTGCTTCATGTGTGGGTACCAAGGTGTTATACATAATACATATGATTTTGGTTAAGCAGTATCAACATGACCCTGTAAGGGCGCTGCAATTTATATTAAATAATAAAAACACTATATTCAAAGATTGTACATAACATATTATTAAAATTTTACCACGATTGCTTCAATTGATTTTCGTTTACATTTTACCTACATACACATTATACATATCTACCAACTCTTTATTTGCACAATTTTATTTATTTATTATCATTACCAGCAATTTCCATAATATTGCTATTATTCTATTTTTTTTTAGTTTTGTTGTTTATTCTCAAAAAACTCCTGCAAACTATAATAACATTTATCGATGAGATATTCATTAAGTTTTCTTTTGAAAGTAGTATATTTTGTTTCTTTTTTTATATTACTTGGTATTTTGTTGTAAATTTTTATTGACATGCAATAGGGGCCGTTATGAAATATAGATAAGTTGGAGGTAGGAAGCGATAATTTATTTCTATTTCTTAGTTGACGGTCTTGCGAATAGTGGTCACGGTTACGACTAAAAAGATTAATATTTTTGTAAACAAATAGGCTCAAATCCAATATGTACAGGGAAGTCAAAGTAAGGACACGGAGTGTTTTAAAGTGTGGTCTACAGCTATGTGTTCCCCCAACATTGGCCAGAATGCGAATGCATTCTTTTGGAGTTTAAATATGTCGTCTGCGTCAGTACTATTACCCCATAGAGCAATGCCATAGCGCATCCATGAGTGCGCATATGCATAATATGCAGTGAGGGCGGTTTTTTTGTCCGTTGATGTTTTCAGATGGTAAAGAGCGTAAGTGAATTTTGACAGTTTGCTGCTTATGATCTGGGCGTGTGATTTCCAGTTAAGGTGACTGTCAATATTTAATCCCAAAAGTTTAAAGTTGTTAGTACTTTCAATTTTCTCATTATTAAATGCAAAATCAATAGATAGGTTTCGTTTTTGGTAGGGTTTAAACTGCATGAGTTTTGTTTTTTTGAAATTGACTTGCAAATTATGATCATTCAGCCAACTAGTTATATTTACAAATAAAGAATTTAATGTATTGTTTAGATTTTGTTCATTTTCACAAGGAAGTACAATTGATATGTCATCTGCAAAAAGGGTACTTGTAGCATTTATTACTTTTGGTAGATCGTTTATGTAGATCAGGAACAGCAAACATCCCAACACACTTCCCTGTGGGATAGAATTCTGTACATCTATTACTTGAGATCTTACCTGGGTGATTCTGCCACTTTTGGAGTTATGGTGCTCAATTTCTACGTACTGGCTACGATTGTGTAAATATGACTCAAACCATTTATGAGCGATTCCTCTGACACCGATACCTTCCAGTTTATTTAAGAGGATTTTGAATGAGACTCGATCGTAAGCTTTGCTCATGTCCAAAAGGATTCCGATTGCATATTTGTGATCATTTATAATATTAAGTACATATTGTATATATTTGTAAACCGCGTATGTAGTTGATCGTTCTTTGCGGAAACCATTTTGACTGTCATCAAATATTTGATATTTTTCACAGTAGGTGTATAAACGGTTTGACATAGCTGTTTCGAATATTTTTGAGAAGGTTGGCAGAAGAGCTATAGGCCTATAATTTGTGCAGTCAGTCGGGTCACCTTTTTTAAGTATGGGTTTGATTATTGAAATTTTTAATTTGTTTGGAAAATTACCCTCTGCAAACGATTGATTAATTAGAAATACAAGAGGCATAACAAAGTTGTTGACGCACTTTTTTATCAATACTGGGGGTAAGTCATCGTGTCCGAAGCTGTTTTTATTTTTAAGATTGCATATTATATTATGAATTTCGTACGGATCAACTGGTTTTAAATATATAGATTTATCAGAAGGTGTAATTATGGGGCGGCCTTTTAGAGTGCTTGGTTCACCCCCCACCTTGACGAAAAAGTGATTGAATTTGTTTGCAACTACTAGTGGGTCATATATAAGTTTATTATTTAATTTTAAACCAATGTTTTTCCTTGTTTTGGTGGTTACTTTATTTGTTTTTTCTTTTATGATTTGCCACATTGTTTTAGTAATATTGTTACTTTTTTGTAATTGTCTAATGTAATCCAACTTTTTATGTTTCACAATTGCGCGTTTGAGAGTTTTTTCGTATAGTTTATAATGTTTTTCTAAATTGATTTTTATTTTGCGTAATGAAGATTTTTAGAAGTCGTTTGTTCTTGCAAGAGATTTTTAATTTCGTTATTGTAGTTTTCTACTAAGTTTGGTTTTCAATATTACACGAGTTTTAGGTATGCAGTTGTTTAGTATCTTAAATATTGTGTCGTGGAATGATTCAAAATTTTCGTTAAGGCATTTGTCTTCCGTTAATATAGTTCCCCATAAAACATTGTTTAATTCAGCTTTAAAGGCATTGATATTTTTTTCATTAAATGACCGCTTAATTACTTGCCATGTTTTTTGGTCTTTTAATGTGATTGACATTGTAACTATTATCCCCTTGTGGTCTGATATTCCATATTCCTTTAAACACATTGTGAGTGTACTATCTTTAAAATTAGTAAATATGAGGTCAATGCAAGTAGCACTATTGTTGGTAACTCTAGTTGGTTCTTTTATTTGTTGTTCAAAGTTATAGCTACTCAATAAGTTTAGAAGAATCAATTTACCATATGACTGCTCCAGAACATTAACATTAAAATCACCACCCAAAATAACTTTCTTTTTGCTATCTTTATCATTAATGTTTGCAAGAGATTTTCAAGAGTTTTATAAAATAGATCAGATTCCCGGTTTCTTTGGGGCCAATACATAACAATAATGACAATTTTCTCTTTAACTAATTCTATTGCACATACCTCGAATATATACTCAATGCTCATGGCTAGTATATCTGTTCTCTCAATGTAGTCGATGTGCTCCTCAATTAAAACACAGACACCACCGCCTTCGTGATGTTGTCTGTTGTAGGTTGCCGCGACACTATACCCGTCCAAATGCAATAGATCTATCTTTTTTTCGGTTATCCAGGTTTCTGTGAGACATAAGACGTGAATTTCTTTCTCTTCCTCAATAATTGACTGTAGCAAGTGGTATTTGTTTTTTATACTACGTATATTCTGGTATAAGATTTTAAAATTGTTCGCGAAATGAATGTTCTGTATGATTATATGACCTGGATTTATAGTTTGGTAATTGCTGAATTTCTGACTGAGATGAGCGAATCATTGTTCTGTTGCTTAAATTTGTATTATAATACTCACTGTTATTATATGGCAACGTTTCGTTATTGTAATTTGTATATAAATTTTCGTTCTGCGATTTATCAACCTCCTTTCCATTGATTAATAATTTATTGTTCCTAATTACGGCGTGATGTCCATTTCGCCTTGCTTCTGTAAGGATTTCACTGAGCTTCTTACGTTTGAGGAAAGTTTCTCTGTCAAGGTATTCTGATATTGATATTCCTGTGTTTTGAAACAATTGATGATTTTGGAGCAGATGCTTAGGTAATCTTTTGCTTAAAAAATCGACTATCACAGGTCTTCGATATCCCTTTCTACCTATTCTGGTTATTTCTTCCACATAACCTGTGATATTTATGCCACATATTTCCTGAATCATTGTTGAAATTCTGTAATGCAAATATTCTTCCGTTTCTGAATGATATTCATTTAAACCATATATGACAATTTTCTTGTTGTTGTTCCTGTATCATTTAATTTGGTTTCGTAGATTTTGTTCTCAATGTTTGGTAGTTTGCAGACGTTTTTTAGCTCTAGAAGTTCGGTTTTTAGCTTTTTGTTTTCCCTTTCGAGAGTACAAATCTTACTATTTATTTCAGAAATTATTATAGACGTATTCTCTTGAAGGGGGTCGTGTGTTTTTGTACTTTCCATGGTTTCAGAATTCAATCCAAGCATAAATTTTGATATTTCCTCTGATATAATGCGTTTAATGTCATTAGCAAAATAATTTTTGAGACTAGTAATCCTATCATTTAACATTTTATCCAATATTTGCAGACTAATATTGTAATTTTTCAGGTTTTCGTTTGGAGTTTGTGTGTTATCCACGATGCTTTCATCGTCGAAGTTATCAGCATCGCTTTTATTGCTAGATACTGTGTTTTGTCGCATTGGCTCGGTTGAGGGTTTGTTGACCGACGAGGAAGGAAAATGTTGAGGTCGTATTGGTGTGTTAATGTTATCCGATTTTGGGGTTTTGCAACGGCAGGACTGACAATTCCATAATGTTTTCTGTGCCTTTGACATTAATTTGAATTTTTGCGGAGTGATATTAGCGCATTCTAAGTCATAATTCTCGTGACATAGCGGGCACGAGAGAAACTGCTGTGTTTTAGCGATTTTTTGTAGGCATCCAGCACATAGTAACGCCATATTTCACTATCGATGCAATTATTGATTATAAAAATAATAAAATTTTATTTAGGTTCTAGAGAGCGCCCTCTTTTAGTCGTTACTCGGTACTAATTTTGTAACTTAAGTACTCGATAACAGATGGCGCTGTCGGACTCCTGTTTTGAGATTTCTATTTTAAATCTGTTTAGTTTTACACGTAGCCAGTAACTTCCATTCGATAATCTGTTCTGTTCACCATATTATACATTTATATTAACACTGACCATGTTTTAAGTTACACAATGTTTAATTTACTTTTATTAATAACGCAGGTATTTTGAGATTTGCACGTTAAGTTGATAATTATTTGGTTTTACTGGTTCCAAGTTTTACACTGTCTTTATATTACTGGTTGCTATGTTCTTTATATCACTATGATCTTATATTTGTACACTTTTGGATTATTCACTAACGTTAATTAATTATTTTTATAAAATTTTTGTCGAGCGTCTCACTGTGTGTATTTACTTTACAACGCCACCTGGCGGATCATTCCCGGGTCGGGTAAAGGATTACTGGGTTTTTAAAAACCTCAGTAGTCTGGAACTATGCCCGGTATATGGCAATAGGCTCACTCCCTAGTATATAGTATCTCAATAGTGAAAAGTGGGTGTTACATTGTACAGTGGCATTAAGTGCCGAAACGTACACCTCTGCCTACCGCTTCGGCAATAAAAAGGCGCGATGTTATGTTATGTTATGTTATATAAATATAAATACGATACACATACCAAAATAATACTTTTTTGTCTGTCTATCTCTCTGTTTACCTACTGGTTAATTTCTGAAATATTCTCATTTCCGACTACAATATAACATCTAGTAATATGTACAATTTTGCACCAAATAGTACAATACACGGTAAAATGAATTACGCTGAATGTTAACAAATGCTCCCGCTATAGGATGATTCCCCATAATAGGAATGATGATATGACAGGGTATGAATTGGCAGGGCGAATTACTTCGTCTGTTAGATAATTAAAAAAATATTTACCACGTACTTTTTTATTTTATCGTTTATGAAAACAATATTTGGATAAAACGATTTAAGTTTAAAAGTGGGAGGTAGTTACGTGATTTTAGAGTATAAATCGTACACAAAAGTGACGTCATGCGATATTTCAAATCAATATATCGTAGAAATTATTCGTTTCCGTAAGAAAAAAAGAACGTGTCTAATGTTTTTAAATAATCTACCGGACAGACATTAAAATAAAAATTAGTCATCTAGGTACCCTATTGTTTAGCTTTTAAGTCAAACATAGTTTGTGAATAAAGATATTATGAAAATATAAAAATATCTTTTGTAAATAACAGTCAGGGTCATCATCACTAATATCGTGTGACAGATCATTGCTGGACTATGGATCTCCTCTACATTTATTTATATTTAAATTTTTACATATATAATATATATCATCACAGGCATGTGGTGTAGTCTCAGGCATAAAAATGTAATGAGATGTTTAGTCGTATGAGTGAGGTTACCGGAGGCCCTATTACCCTCCCCCCATCCCCAATCCCTGAATCCCCAACAATCCTCAAATTCCTAATCCGGTAACGCACTTGCAACGCCTCTGGCGTTCCAGGTGTCCGTGGGTGCGCCAATCCACGCCGATTGCTTACCATCAGGTGATCCGTCTGATCATTTACCGGTCTATACCATGAAAAAATTAACAATATTCATTCAAAAAGTAGGTGTGTTAATAAATGTATGGATTTCCCATCGAGACATAAAAGGTGTTATGTAATCCATTAAAATCGATATCTATTTTATAGATTCACATTAAAACTTAAAGTGTCATGAAAACTATACTTTAAGCTAATGGAAATAAATTGCATCTTCCTTTAACGAACATCCTGCAATCATAAATCCATTTGCATTTCTGGGCATCAGTGCAATAATTATACTTATTAGCTTTGCGGTATAAGCAGAGAAGTTCGCCTTATGGTACTTTTAGAACATTTTCTTTAGTCCTGTCCCGACTACCATCTGCCGTGTGGTTACTTACCCGCATCCTACTGAGTGCGGTGACCATTATTCAAAACATTAAAAGGACGTAAAATATTATTTTAAATTGAAAACATTTTTCAAAATTACGTAATGTTATGTAATATAACTGTTATGTTTTGTCCATAAAGAAAGTAATACCTGTTATATATTACTATTATTACCATATAGCATAATTATATTGTCAGTTATTACACTTGAAACTATAAAATCAACATTTAAAGTTGCCGTTAATTTTTTAAACACTTACTTCATAATATATGCTTTTGACTTATTTTGTTAAATTTCATAAAAATATTTAAGTAGGTTTAAAATAATAATAAGGTATTCTGTTCGTAACGCAACAAATTGATCGCACAGGATCAATGTAACTACATAACATAACATCATGCCTTTTATCCCCGAAGGGATGGGCAGAGATGCCCATCATGCCAATGTACAATGTAACACCCACTTTTCACTATTTATGGTACGGGTCCCATGTAACAGGGGTGAGCTTATTGCCATATACCGGGCACCATTCCAGACCCCGTGCTACTACTGATATTTATTTAAAAACCCAGTAATACTTTGCCCGACCCGGGAATCGAACCCGACACCCCTTGCCCGGCAGTCGCATTTGCGACCACTCGGCCGACCAGGCAGTCAATGTAACTAACCACTATTTAAAATTGATACCTCTTGCAAAAACAGAACTTTACAAATGTGGTTCAATTTACACTGGTAACTTAATTCTTTGAAATGAAGGACTGTAAATGATGCAACTTGTATTAGAATTACAACATTTTTCAAATCTAATTAAATATAATTTATCATTTTGGGACTCTCTTGTAAATATTGATAGATTTTTCGAAATTATTTACGTAGAAACGTTCTAATTGATTGCATTTTATTTTTTCTACTATATCTTTATATATAGAGGTATAATTCTACTGTACGTGTGTATGTCAATGAACTCCTCCTAAACGGCTTGACCGATTGAAATGAATTTTTCTGTATGCCTTTAAGTTTACCCTGGATGGTTTAGATTCACAAATCAGCCCAGCAGATGGCGATGCAGTCGGTACCTAGGTTAATTATCTATACATATTAATATATTATTATTATTATATTATATGCAGGACAACGTCTGTCGGGTCTGCTAGTAATCTATAAAAAGCTGTAAGGCTCACATACTTAAAGGGTATATAGACAAGGAATTGTAAAATAAAGTTAGAAATTGATTACAGTTTCTGTCGAGAAGAAGCAATTCTAAGGAAAAGCTTTCTTTTCATGATGGTAATAAGTAAATAAATAGCATAATTCTAAGTAAGCCAATTTTCAGTACATGAGTTACGGGTCCTATGTAATACAGGCTGAATCTATTGCCATATACCAGTTTTTAACACCGTTGTTATTTTATTGACTGCCCTCGTTGGCCGAGTGGTTGCTAGTGTGACTGGCCGAGCAAGGGGTCTCGGGTTCAATTCCTGGGTCGGGCAAAGCATCACTGGTTTTTTTTTTCAAATTTGTTTGTGTGTCTGGAAATGTGCCTGGTATATGGCAATAGGGTCATCCCTTATTCAAGGGACTCATAACATAAATAGTGAAGAGGAGGTGTTACATTGTACTGTGGCATTAAGTGCCGTAATGTGCACCTCTGCCTACCTCGTCGGGGTAAAAGGCGTGATAATATTTTTGAGAATGTTTAACATAACATCACGCCTTTTAACCCCGAAGGGGTAGGCAGAGGTGCACATTATACCACTGTACTATGTAACACCCACTTTTCACTATTACGTTATGAGTCCCGTGTAATAGGGGGTGAGCCTATTGCCATATACCGAGCACATTTCCAGACTCTGTGCTACAACTGAGAATATTTAAAAACCCAGTAATACCAGTAAAATTTTATACGACTTTGGAATTTAAGCTCTCGTTCTGTTTTAAAGACTACTCGACCTACGAGGTAATAATTTTATAAAAATAGAATTTGTGCTATTTCCGGCTTGTTGTGTTACCCACATTTGACACCGATGCATCCCTTATTATGGTGTGACCGTGTGAGGGAATGGGGTTGTGAAGCCCATAGCTTGAATTATTTTCAACAAACCCATGACGTACTCTGATAGAATACGTTAATTCGTAATTCTGTATGAATATTGAATGCTCTTGTTGCGGTTTCCTCGCGTTTCCACGCATTTTGGCGGTTATAGGATCAACAGCGTTGGCGTGAAGTTGTTATAATTTTAAATATAATAATGTAATTGGTTCACATTTTGTTATTCATTCTAAGTACATACAAATACTTGAATTGTCTTTATTACCTGACAATATAATACCTATCATTTTCAATTGTTACAACATAACATATGTTATGAGTCCCACGTAATAGGGGGTGAGCCTATTGCCATATACCGGGCTAGTACTGAGACTTTTTTTTAAATTCCTGTAATACTTTGCCCGACCCGGGAATCGAACCCGAGACCCCTTTCCCGGCAGTCGCACTTGCGACCACTCGGTCAACGAGGCAGTCAATTGTTACAATTTAGTTTTTTATGAGATAAGGGCAAATGAGTTTCCTATGGCGTTGATCACTTGGTGGTAAGTGATCGGCGCCTCTGATGGAAACCCACAATACCAGAGAGGTGTTAAAAATGCGTTACCAAACTATTCAGAAGCTTTAGTACGAGTACGTGTTCGCCGTTCTGATTGGTTGGTTCAATGAAGCCGGCCAATCAGAGCGTCGAACGCGTATTCGTTTGGATTACTTTAAACGTACCTATAACAAACTTGTACTAACGCCTCAGATGGACGCGAAAGGGTGCTTGGACCTTCATGGACCTTCATGAGACTTTCCATTGAGGCCGTGGTATCACTGTCGTTGCACAGACATCCACGTGTAAAATCATAACTCTAAAGTTATGATTACTTAATTAATTAAAGCAAAACAGGTGTGTAATTGACTTTTCCTTATTAGTGTTGT